ACCTGTTGGGATACCTGCCAAAGTCTTCAAAGTGGGCGGAATTAAACTTATACAACAACTTCACAAGCTCATCAAAAAAATCTGGGAGAGAGAGGAGATCCCAGTAGATTTTAGGGATGCCAAAATTATCATGAACATGAAAAAGGTGACAGAACGGATTGCAGAATCTATCATGGCATCTCTTTACTAGCTGAGGCCGGCAAAATTCTTGCAAGGATCTTAGCAAACCGTCTCTTAACAATATCTGAGGTGACCCTTCCTGAATCCCAAAATGGTTTTTGACCTTCTACGGGAACAGTGGATATGATTTTCACCTCTTGACAGCTTCAAGAAAAATGCAGAGAGCAAAACCAACCCCTGTATACAGCATTTATTGAGCCTAGGGATTGCTGATCAGAAGGTTAGCAGTTCAAATTCCTGCAACGGGGTGAGCTCCCGTTGTTCGGTCCCTGCTCCTGCCAACCTAGCAGTTTGAAAGCACGATGTGCAAGTAGATAAATAGGTACTGCTCCACCAGGAAGGTAAACGGCGTTTCCATGCGCTGCTCTGGTTCGCCAGAAGCGGCTTAGTCATGCTGGTCACATGACCCGGAAGCTGTACGCTGGCTCCCTCGGCCAATAAAGCAAGATGAGCGCCACAATCCCAAAGTCGTTTGCGACTGGACCTAATGGTCAGGGGTCCCTTTAGCCTTTACCTTTAAGGCCTTCAACACTGTACATCTCAATGCCCTGTGGACTGTCCTTCTGAAAACTGGCTGCCCAGATAAATTTGTGAACATGATAATATGACAGCAGCAATTGCAGATAGCAATGGCTCTCAAAGTGAACCATTCACAAGTGGGATCAGGTGTTAAACAGGGTTGTGTTATCGCCCTAACTCTATTTATTATTTTCATTGTCATGATCCTACAGTTTGTCAAAGGGAAACTCCCCACCGGGGTAGAAATCATATACTGAATCAAACAAATGAAAAGCTCTTTAATCTGAGTAGGTTGAAAGCAAAGAGTAAGGTTACCATAACTTAAGTCATAGAGCTTCAGTATGCTGATGACAACATAGTGTGTACAACTACCCAAACCATCCTAAATATCTTCAAAGAAGCTTTCAAAGAAAACTTGGGCTATTGCTCAATATCCAAAAAACCAAAGTGCTGCACCAACAAGCACAAAACAACCTATTGGCAGCACCTCAAATCCAACTTAATGGTGTAACATTGGAAAATGTTGATCACTTTCCCTACCTGCACAGTTATCTTTCCACAAGGGCCAACACTGATGCCGAAATCCAGCATTGCCTGAGCTCTGTAGCTTTCTCCTGACTGAAACACAGAGTGTTTGAGGACCAGGACATTCACAGGGGAACCAAAATGCTTGTTTACAAAGCTAGTGTACTGCCAGCCTTACTGTATGCTTGGGAAACATGGACCACTTATAAACGCCATCATCAACTCCTCGAAAGATTCCATCAATGGTGTCACTGAAAACTTTTACACATGACTTGGGAAGACAGGTGAACAAATGCCAGTGTACTAGAAGAAGCAAAGATCACCAGTGTTGAAGCAATGATTCTTCAATATCAACTTGGTTGGTCTGGTCATAATTGTTCAGATGCCTGATTATCGTCTTCCAAAGGAACTACTCTATTCAGAACTTAAAAATGGAAAGCGTAATGCTGGTGGTCAAAAAAGAGGTTCAAAGACTCTCTCAAGGCAAATCTAAAAAAATGTAGTATAAACACTGACAACTGGGAAACACTGGTCTGCAAGCACTCCAGTTAGAGAACAGCCTTTACCAAAGGTGTCTTGGGTTTTGAAGGCACTTAAACTCAGGATGAAAGAGAGAAACGTGCTAGGAGGAAGGCACGTTTGGCAAACCCTCACCGGGACCAACTCCCGTCCAGAAACCAATATCCCCACTGTGGAAGGATGTGTGGATCCAGAATTGGCCTCCACAGTCTCTTACAGACTCATTGTTAAAACCGTGTTCATGGAAGACAACCTTACTCAGCTACAAGGGATCACCAAAGAAAAAGATAGACCATTGACCACAAAATAATTTCCCCCTTTTGAAATGCCCCAGAGCTATCTCTGGTCAAAAGTGTTGCTTTTGTACAATGTGCTTTAACACACAACCACATTTATGAAAAAGAACTTGAGATTTTAGGAATAACAAGCTCTGCATCCAATCAGTCCGTGGCAGCTATTAATAGCTACTAGGCAGGATGGCCATCTTCTGTTTCCACTGCTGGAGGTCGTTTGTCTTGGAATTCTGGTTGCTGGGAATCCCAGGTGGGGAGATGGTCCTGCTGGTGAGCTTCCCATCGGCATCTGGTTGGACATTGTGTGGGATGTGGGACTAGATGGGCCACTGGCTTGATCAAGCAGGTCTATTCTTATGTTACTGTAAGTCTCATTAATTTCCACAAGGCTTCTGCACAATTCGTCTTCTCTGGATTGGGATCCTTGGGGACGGGAGATGTCATATAGGGATGGGGAACTTTTGGCCCTCCAGAGGTTGCTGAACTAGAACTTCCATGAGTGCCAGCAAACATGGCCAATGGCCAGGAATGGTGGGAATTACAGTAGAGCATCATTTGAAGGGCATCATTTGAACAGGTCCCCCACCTATCATCCCTGGAGGGGGTGCTGTTTGTGCTGTCTGATGTGTCACCATGCTTTCCGTGGTGCTGAGGGAACCAGGACCCCTGGTTCTCTCTTTAGCCTTGGGAGAGGCATGGAATGGAGGCTATGTGCTTCCCATGTGCTTTGCATCCTATGCACTCCCACCTCTGGTTTGGGGAGTGGTGGACACACCATGTTAGGCACAATCCATATCTATCCTGTTGCTTCTTAGGAAATTCTGCCTTTTTATGCATTTCCCTATCAAACTGGCTTTGATCTGGGTTGAGTAAAAGAACAACGTAGCTGCCTCTTGAGCCAGAAATGTGCACACAGCATGTAGACAGATGTATTTGGGCTGGTGTGTGTGAGAGAGAGAACTCAAGGGTTTTGTTCCCAGCCCTGAAAGGAGATGTGCGTGCTCTTCCGCTCTAGCTGCTCCTTGCCTCTGGAGTGTGAAGGCCGCGCTAACGAGGCATGAAGGGAACGTTGACAGGAGAAAGGGTCATGGCAGCAGGAGGTGCCTCTGTGTGTCGCCGCCCCTATTCCTCCCTTCCAAGGGGGCAATGGTTCCAGTTAGGACCAGGTTTAGGGGTCCCAGGCAGCCCCCCCATGCTGTGAAGAGGGTGGCAAGAGGGGTTCTGGTTGCATGGATCTGGCGTGGAGTATGTGTATGCCAGTCATTGGGTGATAGGCACTTTGCAGTTCTTTGGAAGGGAACCAGGCAGTTAAAGAACGCATGTTAAAACATTTTGCTAAATTCTGCACGCACAAAACTCAATTTGTTGACTTGAAACAAAACCTACTGACTCCAATATTTAGGGGCTGCACAGAATTCGAACAGCTGCAAGAACAAAAAGTTTCCTTAATTCTTATTTAATGTTACGCCGATTCCCTCGGTATTTTTACTACCCTCAGAAGCTTAGGGAAGCTTGGCCTGGGAGGGGGCTAGTTCTCTGTGGCAGCCCCTAAATTGCAGAAGTGACTTCCCACAGAGTGCAGCTAAAACAGGTGCAGTCCCGGTTTTATGAAAGCCATCCCAGTTTCTGATTTGATTCCAGAATGTTCCTATTTTCCTTAGGATGTCCCTATTTTTATCAGAGAAATGTTAGTGGGTAGGGAGTGAGGTGACTCCTGAGCCAAGGAGATAAGTAACTACACAACCTTTAGAAGACAGCCCAGGATAGGGAAGTTTTTTAAGGTTTAATATTTTCTTATGTTTTTATATATGTTGGAAGCCACCCAGAGTGGCTGTGGCAAATTATCATTATATTATTATGGAATATGGCACCCCTATTTTCACCAAAGAATGTTGGAGAGTATGTGAGACTTTTTGGTGAAGGGTGGATAAGGAAGGAAGCTTTGGGGAAGATCCACAAACGCTTTGCATGATGTTTTCAGATGGATCTGGGAATGTCTCATGCCTGATACCCTAGAAGGCTGCTGCAAGTCAGAGCAGGAAATACTGGCCTGGCCTGGCGGCCCCCTCCTCCCTGGGCCCCCAGATTATACTGGGAATCATTTCAGCCCACTTTGCTTTTCCTCAGGATGCCGTTTGGCTGCATCGGACTTCGGGATGACAAGAACTACAACAGCCTGTCTGACATCACGGACAAGTATGAGATTGGGCAGCTGCTACGGGCGTAAGTAGGGTAGCAGAATGAAGAGCCCCCGGCTGAAGAGCCGCAGCTCCCTGTGGCCTCCGGGGAAGCACCCCAAGGGAGCAAAGGAGCCGGGCCACTGGCAGGCTGGGCTGTTGGGGGCGGGTCTTTGTGTCTTTGCCACCCATTATTTGGAATCATAGCTGTCAAGTTACAGATTTGAAAATAAGGGACCAGCAGCCTTGAAAATAAGGGACCAGCAGCCAAAATAAGGGACCTGCAGCCTCACTCATTCCAGGCACTCCAGTCTTCCTGTCCTCCTGCAGTCTGGTCAAACTCATGCTGGGTAGCTTCGAGAACACTGTCCAACCAACTTTGTAACCAGAGGTTCAACTGAATAGAATCTGAATCACATGCACCACAAGGCCTATGCAGCCTCAACTTAAGATGGCTCCCTGGCCTGGCTTTGCACTGCTAAGTTTGCAGCAGCACGTGCAACAAAATGGTGTCCAGCTTTCAAAAAAACCCTCAGCTTGCATTAACTAGCCACACATAAGGCATGCAAGCTCCACCCCACAGTCATTCTTAGACTTCTTATTGGGTGAGCAACACACCCAAGCAACACAGTTGGATCCTCCCTCCTCCCTGGCCGGCAGGGAGGGAGGGAGGGAGAGGAGCTGCTTCCTTTGAAATTTAAGGGACATCATTTAAGGGACATTTAAGGGACATCCATCAATAAGGGACAGCAGCGGGACATCGCGCTGGAATAAGGGACTGTCCCTTTTAATAAGGGACACTTGACAGCTATGTTTGGAATGTCCTGTCACAGCAATTGGCCAGACGCCCTTTGGCATTTCTGGCACAGCTGCAGCATCCTTTCTTCTCTTTCCCATGGCCATCCTGCACCCAGCAGCCTCAGAGCAGCCACAGCATCTTCTCACCCTTGCCTGGCGCACGTGGAAGTTGGCACTTGGCAGCAGGACAGAGCTCTTGGCCTCGCGTCTCTCACGCCACTGCTTTGCGGCTGCCCACCCTGTTAGCCCTTAACCCCTTCCTTCCCTTTGCTCTGCCTTCAGTGCCCCTGACGCACATAATAGCTATGTACTTTTAAAGCACATTTCCCCCCAAAGAATGCTGGGAACTGTAGCTTATTCTTCACAAAGCTATAATTCCCAGCACCCTTAACAAACGGCAGTTCCCAAGATTCCCTGGGGTGTAGGGTGTGCTCTAAATGCATGGCACATATGCAGCCGGTGAGCAAGGGACAGTTAGCAGCTCCGACGATTGTTGCTTTCGTTTTAGCCCATACCCTGCCTGCCATTTTGCCACAAGTGAGCAGGAAGAAGAGGAGCACGGCTTTTCCAAAATGGCCTCCTAGGCTGCGAAGGATCCATGAACTGGCTGCTGGGAGAGACAAGCTGAAGGCCAGAGGGTAGTCCCTTCAGGACAGCACAGGCGGCAAATGTCCAGCCAGCCTATTTGGCATCTTCAATGCACCACAACCATTCAAACTTGCCCGGGTGCCTCTGGACTTGGTTTGGTCATTGCATTTACTTCATGCAAGATCACATTCACCCGGTGCTATACCAGCTGCACTGGCTCCCGGTGGAGTACAGGATCAGGTTTAAGGTGCTGCTTTTAACCTTTAAAGCCCTATACGGCCTAGGACCCTCGTACCTACGGGACCGCCTCTCCTGGTATGCCCCACAGAGGAACTTACGGTCTTCAAATAAAAACATCTTGAAGGTCCCAGGCCACAGAGAGGTTAGGCTGGCCTCAACCAGAGCCAGGGCTTTTTCGGCTGTGGCTCCGATCTGGTGTGACGCTCTGTCACAAGAGACCAGGGCCCTGCGGGACTTCACATCTTTCCGCAGGGCCTGCAAGACGGAGCTGTTCTGCCAGGCCTTTGGTTGGGGTTCAGTCTGACTCCCTCTCCCCTTTCATAATAACTTGCATGAAAGTGGCCTCCCAATTTTTCTCACAGGCCCATATAAGTTCAGCACAAACAGTTGGGCCTGGTGAGCATTTAAGGTCCCCAACCCTAATCTGCAGGTTGCCATCTGATTGGATTTTATTCTGATCCTGATGTGAGGATGTATTTTAATTGATTGTCTGATTTTATGTTAATGTGTTATTCATTTGATGTTAGCCGCTCTGAGCCCGGCTTCGGCTGGGGAGGGCGGGATATAAATAAAATTTATTATTATTATTATTATTATTATTATTATTATTATTATTATTATTATGCCTTCCCTCTGAGGAGAGAAGGCAGCCCATGTCCTCACTTCCTCCTCACAACAACCTTGTGAGGTAGGATGGGTTGAGATAGTGATAGCCCAAGGTCACCAAGTGAGTTTCATGGCTGATGAGGATTTGAACCCTGGTCTGCCAGGTCCCAGTCCACCACTTGAGAATAGGAATGGGGTATCCTCCAAAAGTTCCATCAACCCCACCCAGCATGGCCAAAGGTCAGGAATGATGGGACTTGTAGTCCAGCAATATCAGGTGGGTCACAGGTTCCCTATTCCTCCCCTAAAAGCTATGCTACACTCCAAAAAGTGGCCTCAAACCCAAAGCATGGAGAACTGATATATTATTGTTTATCAGCCATGGCAGCTGAAAGGGCCCTCTAAAGTCTGAGGCAACAGGGCACAGGCTATCACCTTTCTGCCCCGCTTGCTTGCTTCCCCAAGACATGATCTGGCCAGCTACTCGAGAAAGCAAGATGCTGAACGAGGCAGCCTGGGCGGCTCATCTAGCAGCAGCAGAGCAGTTTTCACAGCGAAAGCGGGTTTCTTTTTTGCCCTCCCCTGTCCCACAGGAAGGAGTTCTGTGAGATTTGTGTGGCCCGCGAACGCCAGACAGACCGACTGTATATCTGCAAGAAGTTTCTCAAGAAAGACGGGCGCAAGGTGCGAAGGGCAGCCAAGAATGAAATCCTCATCCTGAAGATGTACGTGTCTGAGATGGGGGGTTAGGAGTGGGGGGGGGATGCTGGGAGTCATCCACACTTGCCCTCGCTCTGCCACTTTCTCCGGAGGAAACCTGATTGTGGGTTTTCCCAGGGAAAGTGGCAGGGTAAGCAGAATGGGTGGGGTAGAAATATTATTCTTACCTCCCCAAAGTCCCTTTGCCAAAGGTCCCTCCATCCTGCAGGCAGCCCAGGTTGGCATGGCTGTGCCAGTGGACTCCTGGGTGCTCCCTGGCCCTCATCTGTGTATAAAGCTTGTGTGTTTTCTCTGCTGTTCTTCTGTAACACTCCCCGTAGCTTCTTTTCAGCAAACTGCCAAGTTGACAGGCTGTGGAGCGAGTTCATGGCCACCGAGCCAGAGTTAAGCTCGCAGCTAAATGTTCAAAACAAAAAAAAATCCTTCCAGTAGCACCTTAAAGACCAACTAAGTTAGTTCTTGGTATGAGCTTTCGTGTGCATGCACACTTCTTCAGATACCTCAGATAGCTTCAGATAGCTAAATGTTCAGTTATAGCAACGGAAGTGAGGCGTTGGGGCTGGGGAGCTCCAGGATTGTGAGGAAATGAGACAGGGAGACTGGGGGACATGAAAGGAGAATAAAAATATTCACGAAAGCAAATGCATCAGGACAAAAAGGTTGCCATCTGTTGTGGGGGTGGGGGGGTGTGGTTCCACGGAAGGCTCCTCTGGTCTTTAACATCTCATGATATATGGTTTGAAGGCTGGTCGGTTTAAGAAATATTTTGTAATTAGGAAATTATATACAGTATGTGGGTATATATACACACTGCTGCATTATGAGACAGAAATTCCACAGATAAAGCTTTCCCTTCACCGGCTCTGCATGCTGAGAAAATCACCACTTGTTGAAAACTGTACCAGGTGGGGTGATGGTGGAAATATATCTATCCTACCTAGTAAGGGCCAAGCAAGGAAACTAAAATCCAGAGCAGAGAAGGCAGGACATCTTGGTGGAATAACCACAAGGTGTGCCAAATGTGAAATGCCTGGTTCTTATACTGCACGAAAGGTGAGGACCCTCTGGCGTATGGGCCAGTTTTGGCTCACCAAATATCCTTCTCGCTCTGCTGTTCCTGGTAAACAAGCAGGAGAGGAACATATGTTGCTCCAGGATCTGGAAGGTGTTTGTATTAAAGCCCTTCTAAAATGGAGGGGGGCACTCCATTTTAAGAGCAAGTTCAGTGCAAACTCCTTTGTGATCCTGGAGCAAGTCTTCTGAAGAGCACAGCTTAGAAAAGGCCTGTGACTTTATGTCATTGTGATGCCAAGTGGTTGACAGGTGGGTGTCAAATCTGTCCCACAAGCGGCAGGACAGGTAGGGCTCCAGCCCACTGCGCAGGGGAGGGGGGGTCCGCCTCCTGTGTTACAGCCTAGAAGTGTCCCCACAGCCCCCTCCCTTCCCTGTGGTAAGTGGGTGAATATGAACTTCCCCTGTGTGGTCTGGGGCATTTGTATTATTTGTGTTATTAAATTTATAACAAAGAATTTGTATACTGCCTAATCATAAAAACCTCTAAGCAGCTTATGGAAGATATAAAATGACATTAAAATCATCAGTAACAACCGGAAGTTAAAAATAAGACTTAACAAATTGTAAGTAAAACCACCAATTACACACACACACAAACAAACACACACACCCCAAAATAAAATTACATATTAAAATACATGCCACCTTTACACATCTTGGCAGCCTTGCTTAAACAAAAACGCTTTTAGCAGACACCAAGAACAATAAAGTGAAGGTGACTGTCTAATGTCAATTGGCAGGCAGTTCCGGAGGGTAGATGCTGCAGCGCTGAAAGATTGCTGAGAACTGCAAAACAAACATTAAGTGGCATTTATAATCCCAGTGGTTTCTGGCACTGTGATTGTTTCATTAATATTTTTATACCCCCCCAATGTATCACAAAATTCAAAGTTAATAATAATACTAATAAATGTTTTATTATTATTTATACCCCAGCCATGCGGCTGGGTTTTCCCAGACACTCTGGGCAGCCCCCAACAGATTAAAAACAGAATATAACGGGGTTTGTGTGGGGTTCCCAAGTTCTTCAGGCTGTGGATGAAACTACATGTGACACAGAGTTCTGTGAGGATGTGTGATTTCCCATACCAACAAAGAGTGCAGTTGAAGTGCGAGGAGAGAGGGCCCTTGCCACTTTCTATTCCTGCCACACCCAGCCTTAAAAATCATGCCTAATCTGCTTTTAACTGCACCAGGGGGCAGGCTCCATGTTGGGGGGGACAGAACCTCAGTTACCGTATTTTTTGCTCTATAAGACTCACTTTTTCCCTCCTAAAAAGTAAGGGGAAATGTGTGTGCATCTTATGGAGCAAATGCAGGCTGCGCAGCTATCACAGAAGCCAGAACAGCAAGAGGGATTGATGCTTTCACTGCGCAGCGATCCCTCTTGCTGTTCTGGCTTCTGAGATTCAGAATATTTTTTTTCTTGTTTTCCTCCTCCAAAAACTAGGTGCATCTTGTGGTCTGGTGCGTCTTATAGAGCGAAAAATACGGTAGTTAAGTTTTTTTTATTGTTTTGCTTGATGGGGGGGCAGCTGCCTCCCTGCTCCCCCCCTGGCTACGCCCATGCTGTTAAACCTAGCTTGTACAGTTAATTTTGCTGCTAACGGCAACAGATTTCATGCCTGCTAAAGACAACCTTAACTTGAGGTGCTAACTGCCAAATCATTTGGAAAATATCCCTGTTTCTGCTTTGTAGTTGCACAGCCCAACCCATGTGAGCACTCACATAACTCTCACCCTCATTTTGTGCTAGCATTTGCTAGGGGGAAAGGAGGAATATTAATATTTCTCTTTAAGCAAGTCTCCGTTTCTGCAAGGCAGGTGGATGTGAAAGAAAGAAAGAAAGAAAGAAAGAAAGAAAGAAAGAAAGAAAGAAAGAAAGAAAGAAAGCCTAAGGCAGAGAGAGCCAAAAGGGAAAGGTGGCAGCCCCTCACCTGTTTCCATCCTAAATTGCAAGCAGCCAACCCTCCCCGCATCTCTGTTTGCCACCATCAAAGCTGTGCACTTGATTCCCAGCTCAACCTGACATCGTCAGAGCTGGTTTTAGCCTCTTAGACGTCTAAAGGCCAGGCATGCATTATTGACTAGGGCCTTGGGGGCTGGCTGGGATTTCTGCTGACTTGGTCTTTGCACAAATGGTCCCTCAGGTGCAAACAACAACGCCAAACTGGCAGGGGACAGGCAGCAAGAATGGTGGAAGGAGTCAGATCAGGAGAGAGAGGAGATGGAGGACTGGGCTGGTACTGAAGCAGTTCGGAGGGGTGGGGAGTGGATACTCGTGGAGGGAGCAGGACAGGAGCTCACGCATCTCTGCATTTTTCTTCCAGGGTGAGTCACCCCAACATCTTGCAACTGATTGACACCTTTGAGACGAGAAAGGAATTCTACATCATCCAGGAACTGTAAGTTTCTTTCTTTTCTTTTCTTTTTTAATTTTTTTATTAAGTTTTAACAATACACAATATAAAATAGAAAAATACAAAGACAAGAACAAAAGAGATATAAAAATACATACTACAAAATACAACAATACAGACATTAAACACAAAAATACAAAAATACATACATTAACAAACTAATAAAAAAAACAAAAAAAAAACACATATAGGAAAAACACAAAAATTCCCTCTTTCTTCGTTTTCTATCTTAAATTCACATATTTTCCTGGCTTCCTCACATCCCCCGTTCTTGTATCCCTTTTAAAAGTTGGTTCAGCAAATTCTTAGCCATTAATTTATCTGTTGTTGGTTTAATCTTAAATTTTATCTTGTTGCTAGAACCCCCACAGTTCATTTCAATGTCATCAACATTCAGAAATTTTACAATATTTCTGCAAATAGATTTTAAATTTCCCCCAATCTTCTTCCACTTGCTCCTCTCCCTGGTCTCGGATTCTGCCAGTCATCTCCGCCATCTCCATGTAGTCAATTAGTTGCATCTGCCAGTCTTCCACGGTGGGTAGATCTTCTGTCTTCCAATGTTTTGCTATAAGAATTCTTGCTGCTGCTGTAGCGTACATAAAAAAAGTTCTATCCTTCTTTAACACCAATTGGTCAACTATGCCCAGGAGGAAGGCCTCTGGTTTCTTCGGGAAGGTATATTTAAATACCCTTTTCAGTTCATTATATATCATTTCCCAGAAAGCCTTAATCCTTGGGCACGTCCACCAAAGGTGAAAGAAAGTACCTTCAATTTCTTTACACTTCCAACATTTATTATCGGGCAAATGATATATCTTTGCAAGCTTGACTGGGGTCATGTACCACCTATACATCATTTTCATAATATTCTCTCTTAAGGCATTACATGCCGTGAATTTAATCCCGGTGGTCCACAACTTCTCCCAGTCAGCGAACATAATGTTATGGCCTATATCTTGTGCCCATTTTATCATAGCTGATTTTACTGTTTCTTCCTCAGTATTCCATTTCAGCAGCAGATTATACATTCTCGAAAGTGTCTTTACATTGGGTTCTAACAATTCTGTTTCTAACTTTGATTTTTCCACCTGGAAGCCAATTTTTTTGTCCAAGTTATATACCTCTCTTATTTGGAAATAATGTAACCAGTCTTGCACCTTCTCCTTAAGCTTGTCATAACTCTGCAATTTCAGTTTGTCACCTTCCTGTTCTAGAATTTCCCAGTATTTTGGCCATTTAGCCTCCATGTTCAGTTTTTTCAAAGCTTTCGCTTCCATAGGTGATAACCACCTTGGTGTTTTACTCTCTAAAAAATCTTTATATCTTATCCAGACATTAAACAGTGATTTCCTAACAATATGGTTTCTAAATGCCTTATGTGCTTTAACCTTGCCATACCAAAGATATGCATGCTACCCAAATATATTGTCATACCCTTCAAGGTCCAACACATCCGTGTTCTCAAGAAGCAGCCATTCCTTCAGCCAGCAAAAAGCTGCTGACTCATAGTAAAGTTTTAAGTCTGGCAGGGCAAACCCCCCTCTGTCTTTAGCATCTGTTAGAATTTTAAATTTTATTCTGGGCTTTTTGCCCTGCCAGACAAATCTAGATATGTCTCTTTGCCACTTCTTGAAACAATCCATCTTATCAATGATTTGCAGTGATTGGAATAAAAATAACATCCTCGGCAATACATTCATCTTAATAACAGCGATTCGACCCAGCAAGGAAAGCTTCAATTTTGTCCAAATTTCTAAATCCTTTTTCACCTCTGACCAACATTTCTCATAATTATCTTTAAATAAATTCCCGTTCTTGGATGTCATATTCACCCCCAAATATTTAACCTTTTACCAAGGTTAATTCTGTCTCCTTCTGAAACCTCTCTCTCTCTATTGGTGTCAGATTTTTCTCCAAAACCTTAGTTTTCATTTTGTTCAACTTAAAACCTGCCACTTGACCAAAATCCTGGATTACTTCTAATGCCCTCTTGGTGCTAGATATCGGCTCCTGTAATGTCATCACTAGATCATCTGCAAAGGCTTTAAGCTTATATTGTTTAACTCCGACCTGGATACCTTGAATCATTTGGTCCCTTCTAATCATGTTCAGCAAAACCTCCAGGACCGAAATGAAAAGCAATGGGGAAATTGGGCAACCTTGTCGTGTCCCTTTCTCAATTTTAAACTCTTCTGTAACCATATTATTTACTATCAGTTTAGCCTTTTGTTCAGAGTATATCGCACCTATACCATTTTCAAAGTTCTGGCCAACCCCCATCCCATGAAGATTTTTCTTCATAAAAGTCCAAGAAATATTGTCAAAGGCTTTCTCCGCGTCTACGAAAATCAAAACTGCTTTTGTATTAATGTTCACCTGCAGCTTTTCTAGAATGTCAATTACATTCCTCGTATTGTCCGATAAGTGTCTTCTAGGAAGAAAGCCGGCCTGGTCTTTATGTATCACTTCTGCCAAAACTTTTTTCAATCTTCTGGCCAAAATATCTGCAAAAATTTTATAATCCACATTAAGTAGGGATATAGGGCGGTAGTTCTTTAATTGTGTCTTTTCCATCTCACTTTTCGGTATAAGTGTGATGTAAGCTTCTTTCCACGTCTCCGGTGCCTTTTTCCCTTCCATAATTTCATTACAAACCTCCTTCAGAAGTTGGATCAAATAGTCTTTCAAAGTTCTGTAGTACTTGGAGGTTAATCCATCAGGCCCTGGAGATTTGCCCAGTTGCATATTCTGAATCGCGCCTTCCACCTCTTGTTCAGATATTTTGGAGTTCAATAAAACTTTATTTTCTTGAGAAATTTTTTGTAATCCATTTGATTTCAGAAATTGATCAATTTTTGACTCATTCTGCGGCCCTTGTGTGTAGAGTTGTTTAAAATATCTCTGGAAGCAGCTTCTAATCTCCTGTGGTTTCTGTACATTCTTTCCATCCACTTCAAGGTTAGTAACCGTATTTAGTTTTTGTCTCTTCTTCAACTGCCATGCTAATAACTTTCCACATTTATTATGTGGAATGCAGGAACTGTAAGTTTCACTGGGAGGTGTAGGCGTACTATGACATGTCAGGCACAAATGTGCCCAAGAAGCAGCTGGTTGAGAGGGCAAGGAGCCCTTCCACCTGCCCTGAACGTCATCATCACCCTCATCCCACCTGAAGGGCTTGGGGCAGGTTAGAACAATTAAAGTACAATGTTAAAAGCAGTTAAAAACAACTTACTATCACAGAAATAATGCCAGTGCCATTTCAATTTGTGTAAAGCTGATTAAACCATGCTAGGTGTTTGTGTGCGCTTGACTGGGTATTGAGAATTGCTTGGTTGGGCTGTGTCTTTGAACTCTGATAATGCCTCTCACCTGCCAAGTGGAGGCTAGACAGGGGCATATTTAAAGCAATCTCACTTTGCAAAAGTAACATTTGCATTAGCTGCTCTGCCCACTTTTGCCTCTGAATGTTTGCACATCTCTGCTACTTTTATATCCCACCTTGACTCCAAGGAACTCAAGGTAGCAAACATGGTCCACCCCTTGTCCATTTTATCCTCACAACAACCCTGTGAAGTAGGTCAGGCTGGCTGCTTCGCTTAAGGTCCCCCCAGTGAGCGTTGTGGCTGAGTGGGGATTTGAACTCTGATCTCCCGGGGTCCTAGTCTTTGGAAGAGCAATGTAGGAATCACTTGGGCTGTCACTTTTCTGCAATCCATTCTGTTGTCTGGATACTCCGAATCCAGCAGTGCCCAGCGGGGAATGGGGTGTGCTGCCCTCTTTCCGTTGATTCCACAACTCACGCTGAATTCTGTGTGTCGCCTGCAGGGCCACTGGTGGGGATGTTTTTGACTGGATCCTGGACCAGGGCTACTACACGGAAAAGGATGCCAGCAATGTTGTCCGGCAGGTGCTGGAGGCATTGGCCTATTTACATAACCTGCACATTGTTCATCGCAATCTCAAGGTAAGGAAAGACTCCTGGATCCCAGGCCTGACATGCTCAGAGTGACCTCCCTCCCTCTGATGGGCCTTTCACTCTTCCAACAAGAAGAAAGGGCCCAGAGGGACCCGGAATACATTTGTACTGCACTGTACCATTTTAGGGCTGGGGAGAGATGATGGCTAACTTTGTTCACCTGTGTCTCTGCTGCCTCCAGCTGGAGAATCTCATGTACTACAACCAGAACAATCGCTCCAAGGTGGTACTGCGGGATTTTTACCTCTCACGCTTCGAGAACGGGGCCATCACAGAACCATGCGGGACCCCTGAATATTTGGGTATGGATATGTCTTTCCCTTTCCCAGAGCTGGATTAAAAACTAAGAGGCATGATTTCTCCTCCCCTGTACAGCTCTAACTGGCCTTCATGGCACATTGACAGAAACTAGGAGCTTTGTAGGCTGCCCAACACTTCTTTCCTCACAGGCAAAAATTCAACAGATAGAGCCATCCTTCTGGCACAGAGACACAGTGACAAAGAAGACATTGCCTTTTGCATTTCTGCCTTCCATACGGCTGCTAACAGCACACCACCTTGGCTGGGGGTGGGGCTGGGAAGGTGAAAAGCAGCACCTGGGCACCTGCCTCCTAACACTACTAGTTTTGTCTTAACCAGCTCTTAAATGTTTTCCCCCTCTGACCCATATGTGTCTCTCCCCACAGCTCCTGAAGTGGTTGCTCGGCAACGCTATGGACGTCCTGTTGACTGCTGGGCTGTTGGAGTTATCATGTTTATTCTGTGAGTTCCACCAGCATTGTGTGTGTGTGTGTGTGTGTGTGTGTGTGTGTGGAAAAGGTGGGCAGAAAGGAGCCTAGGAAAGGCCAAAGTGGCAGTCTCACAACAAGCTTGACAGACATGGTTCACCAGACATCTGACCCACAGGTACGGCCTCTGAGATTGGCAGACACAAAGCACAGGGCCTTCAGGGCAGGTCTTCAGATGTTCCTTGAAGACTCATTTCTTCCCGTCTGCCTTTCTTTGGCCACATTTTTTACTGCTGATTCCTGAGACTAGATGCTTCCATATTCTTATTTATTTTTTTAACCACTCAACTCTACCCCCACTGGATCTCCTTTAGTTATATGCTGCCTTGCGAGGCTATTCCCTGAGAGGTGGAATATATGATTATTTCAATGATGTGTTTGATTCAGAATTGCTTGGGTCCAAGTCTTCTGTTGCCTTGTAATGATTTGAGTCACCCCTATTACCTGCCCCCCCCCAAAACAGGCTGTCTGGGAACCCCCCGTTCTACGATGACACAGATGATGAAAACAGCAACAGCCACAACCGCCGGATATTCCGCAAAATTCTGGCTGGGGACTACGACTTTGACTCCCCCTATTGGGATGACATCTCTCTTGCCGGTAAGAGAGGGAGGCCTGGCCAGGACTCTGGGAACTGACTCGATTCTGACCAGACTCCTCTAGCCTAGTCTAGACATGCAAATGAATGAGACAGTAGAATCCCAAGACGGAAAGTGGGCGATTTCAGGCTTCAAGTGGGAAGGACATTGGTTGTTAATATAAAACTCTGCCTGTTTGTTTAAATGAATGAATGAAGAAAGCACACATGGGGAGAGCATATTTTAGCACAATCTTCTGTGTGGGTTGATTTGGTTAAAAGGAAAACAGATATGCTATAATAAAAGGATAATTCCCTGGATGCCAAGATCCGGGTTTGGGGCAAGTACAGTCATATCTCGGAAGTTGAACATAATCCGTTCGACTTCTGAAATGTTCAACTTCCAAAGTGCGGCTTCTGATTAGCTGCAGGAAGCTCCTGCAGTCAATTGGAAGCTGCGGAAGCTCCATCGGACTTTTGGCTTCCGAAAGAACATTCAAAAACTGGAACCCTCCCAGTTTTTGATTGTTCGGAAGCCGAAACGTTCGACTCCCAAGGCGTTCGGGAGCTGAGGTACGACTGTACTCTTTGGCAAGAGAGCCTCAGCGGATTTTCAATCACAAAATGTGCAGGACTAATATAAGCCTCGCAGGACAGCTTACTCTATGGTTTTAACCCCTTCATGCATTAATTAGTGTTTAGCATGTTAGTTATATGAGGCTGGGTATCTCACATACTCCTCACTGTGGTGGTCTTCTTTCCACCCCCCAAAACTACATAAGGAATTCAAAATGTATGCTCCTCTTGTTACTTGAAATGGTAAAGTCCATTCTACCACGGAACATGTATTCCAACCTTGCTCTGGGTCACGGGGAGGACGGGGGACAGAGACGACGATTGTTCACTTTCTTTAATGTTTCCCACCAACCACCCTTTTCCTTTCTTCCATGCAGCCAAAAAGTTGGTGTCACAGCTTATGGAAGTTGACCAGGACCAACGAATCACTGCCCAGGAGGCACTGGGACATATCTGGTGAGAATTCACCATTCATGAGGCCCTCCCTGGGCCCTCAACATACATGTTCATGGGGGGAAATTGGTTGCTTATTACATATTACAGCATTTATTAGATGACTATGAATAAAACTAAATTATATCAATACTAGCAGGACGTGTGTGAATGTGTGTGGAAAGCATGCCTATAATCTGCCCCATTTCTTCCCCATCCATATTTTCCTCCTCCCTTTCATTAACAAACTGGAGTGACTGGCTTAGTTCTATGTGTGAACCAGCACCCATAAGCTGTTTCTGCTGAACAAACTATGAACCACAGGGCCAGTTCTACCATTAGGAAGATTGAGGCAATGACTTCAGGCAGCAGATTCTGAGGAGCAATGGGAACAGCCCTGCAGCTCTTCCCCCTGAGCCCCCTGGACATACCCTTCTTTTGTGAACTGAGTGTGCCAGGAGGCCTACCCTGCACCCTCATAACTACCCTTCTTTCTGCAGGTATGGCGGGGCATATTATCCCAATACTAGCATTGAAGTAAGACTAGCTGACCTCTGAACATGGAATAGGAGAAGGGTGCTACTTTGTCCATTTGAGGCAGCCAAATGACTTGGGCTTGCCCTGGCAAGCTGGAAGCCAAGAAAAATCATAGAGAGCAGTGTGGTGTAGTGGTTAAGAACGGTAGACTCATAATCTGGTGAACCGGATTCGCTTCCCTGCTCCTCCACATGCAGCTGCTGGGCCAGTCACACTTCTCTGAAGTCTCTCAGCCCCACTCACCACACAGAGTGTTTGTTATGGGGGAGGAAGGGAAAGGAGAATGTTAGCCGCTTTGAGACTCCTTCGGGTAGCGATAAAGCGGGATATCAAATCCAAACTCTTCTCTTCTTCTTCTTCTTCCACTCCTGGTGGTGTTTTTGAGAGAGAAACAAACTGCAAGTGCTGGTTTGCACACGGTGGTGAACTAGCCACTCTCTGTGTGTTCCTATTCTAGGAAGAGAAGACCAAAGTGGGACTAACAAATGTTACTAATAACAAATAATAATAATAATAATAGGGCCATAGTCAAACAACACTGTCTTAGTACTGCAGTCCAAGACACACATACCTTGGAGTAAGCCCCAGTGAAATGAACAGGACTTACTTCTGAGTAGGCATGCCTGGGATTATTCCGCACGTGAGGCATTCCCATGTTTGGGAATGCTTCTTCTATTTATTTATTTTTAATAATTTTTATTGAATGATTACATCACAAAAAACACAACCATACCACCACAAAATACAACCGAGAAATAAAAATTACATACAACAATATTTTGTTTGTTGTTTGTTATTTATTTATTTTGGTTTTACTATTCAGTAGTTCTCTTTCAAATCTTGAAGGCTCCTTTTCAAAACCTATCGGCTTGTCCTGTCTGAACACTTCATTCACCTGGAAGTATTCTAGCCAACTAGAAAAGTGATCTTTTATTTTCTCATAACTTATCAATAATAGTTGACCCTCTTCCTCCCTGAATATTGTGTTATACGTTATCCAGTTCTCTTTGATGTTATTAATTTTTTTTAACAGTGATTGCTTCTAGTGGAGAGTTCCATCTTGGGGTTTTCTGTTCCAAATATCTTTTGTATTTTTCCCATGCCATATATATAGCATTTCGTATTGTATGGTTTGAGAAACTCCTATGCGCCTTTATCTTCCTGTAATTAAGATAGCCATGCCACCCAAAGCAGGTATCATGGCCTTCTAGATCTAAAATATCCCAATTTTTTAATGTACACCAATCTTTCAACCAGAAAAGACATGAGGCTTCGTAATATAGCTTCAAGTCCGTTAACCCGTAGCCACCTCTTTCTATAGTATCTAGTAATATCTTATGCTTAACTCTTGGTCTTTTACCCTTCCACAAAAATTTAGAAATTTCTTTTTGCCACTTGTCGATACTGCTGGTCTTTCCTATAATTGGAATCATTTGGAATAGAAAGAGTAGCTTTGGTAAAACTATCATTTTAATTACCGAAATACGGCCCAAGAATGATAAATTTAACCTAGTCCATGTTTCCAGCTGTCTTTTGATATCTTTCCAACAATTGGTATAATTATCTTCATATAAGTTAATATTCTTTGGTGTTATCCATAATCCTAAATACTTGATTTTGGGGTAGATTTTAATTTGTATTATTTTTTCTAATTCTGCTTTTTCATCTGGCGACAGATTTTTAACTAATAGTTTTGTCTTGTTTAGATTCAGTTTAAACCCCGCAACTTTACCGTAGCCATGTATTATTTCCAACGCCTTTGTTAAAACTCTGTTTTAGTTGCTCCGTAGTTATAATTAAATTGTCAGCAAATGCCCTCATTCTGTAACTTCTATTTCCCCGCATAATCCCTTTTATTTCTTTTTCCTCCCTAATTCGTTTACATAAAACTTCCAATGTTAATATGAAGATTAAGGGGGATAGTGGGCAGCCTTGTCTGACCCCTTTACTGATTTCACACTCCTGTGATATATTTCCATTTATTATTTTAGCTTTTTGTTTTGAATATATTGCTTCAATCCCTTTTATATACTGTATACCAAAATCCATATGATATAATAGACCTTTCATAAATTTCCAGGAGACCCTGTCAAAAGCTTTTTCAGCATCTACAGCCATTAAGACTGCCTTCTTTTCTATTCTTAAATCTAAATACTCTAATAAGTTTATGATGTGACACAACCTTGATGGCAGAAAGTGAGGAGGAATTAAAGAACCTTTTAATGAGGGTGAAAGAGGAGAGCGCAAAATATGGTCTGAAGCTCAATATCAAAAAAACGAAGATCATGGCCACTGGTCCCATCACCTCCTGGCAAATAGAAGGGGAAGAAATGGAGGCAGTGAGAGATTTTATTTTCTTGGGCTCCACAATCACTGCAGATGGTGACAGCAGTCACGAAATTAAAAGACGCCTGCTCCTTGGGAGAAAGGCGATGGCAAATCTAGACAACATCTTAAAAAGTAGAGACATCACCTTACCAACAAAGGTCCCAGTAGTGATGTATGGAAGTGAGAGCTGGACCATAAAGAAGGCTGATCGCCGAAGAATTGATGCTTTTGAATTATGGTGCTGGAGGAGACTCTTGAGAGTCCCATGGACTGCAAGAAGATCAAATGCATCCATTCTTAAGGAAATCAGACCTGAGTGTTCACTGGAAGGACAGATCGTGAAGTTGAGGCTCCAATACTTTGGCCACCTCATGAGAAGAGAAGACTCCCTGGAAAAGACCCTGATGTTGGGAAAGATGGAGGGCACAAGGAGAAGGGGACGACAGAGGATGAGATGGTTAGATAGTGTTCTCGAAGCTACAAACATGAGCCTGACCAAACTGCGGGAGGCGGTGGAAGACAGGAGTGCCTGGCGTGCTCTGGTCCATGGGGTCACAAAGAGTCGGACACGACTAAACAACAACAACAAGTGTTACTATGAATGTGTCTCCCGGGCAAAAAGCCAGCTTGGTCATTGTGTATAATCATCTGGAAGACTTTTTTGGATCTTTCAGCTAGAATATTTGCATATAATTTATAATCGTTATTTAGAAGTGCGATAGGCCTATAATTGTTAATAAGTAGATGGTCCGTTCCCTGTTTTGGAATTCATGCAATAAGGCTGTCTTTCCAAGAGTCCAGCATGATTCCGTCTTTTAAGATGTTGTTCATATTTCTTAATGGGTCAAACAGGATGTCCTCAATTTTTTTGGTAATATATTGTTTCTTCTATGAGAGCAACCCACTGTGTTGTATCATTCAAGCTCAGCCTGACATGCCCATTGTACAGCCTGGACAAGTGTCCACTATTTCGAGACCTATCAGGGTGTACTTATGCTCCTTGTCACTGCAGTTATATTCTGATCTCAAAGAACATACCCAAGTACAGACCACTCTCTGGAGGTGACAGACTTGTGCAGTAGGTATGAATCTGGTTTCCTGCCTAGGACTTTCAATCAGTCCATCTAGAGGGAATATTTCATTCCACATCCAGCCTCTCTCTGGGCCTCCATAAGGTATGTTCAGGTGCACAGATCCTTGGGAGAGGTTTTTTTCTGACCTGCTAACATTTGAATTTGGCAAGACCTTGGGAGGGAGAGGGCCTCCTCAATGGCTGCTCCTAGGTTCTACTAGCAAATACATTTTCATTTAGATAGCCTTTGGCCCATAAGCTGTATGCAGTCATTGGTGTTCACTGACTGTTTTTTTACTACAGTATTCCATTTGGTAGAGAGGCAGGATACTAACTAAATATGCCTCCCACAACTGTGCCAACTTGCAGGTGTCCCCAGAGCCTTTTCCTTATTTCTGGTTCTTGTCTAAGAACACTAGGAAAACCAGGTGGTAAAAACACTGAATTGTCCCTGTATTATTGAAAGCCTACACTTTCTCACCTGCAATTCTACCTTCTTTACCTCTCAGGATATCTGGAAACATTGCCTCTGAAAAGAACCTCAAGGAAGGGGTCTGCGCCCAGATTGAAAAGAACTTTGCCAAGGCCAAATGGAGGGTAAGTGAGTCACATGTCACATGGTGGCGCTGTGGGGAAGGAAGGGGAGTAGAGAGCAGTGGTCAGCCACTTTATCTTAGCCAAAAGGCTTAGAGGCTATTGAAATCCAGCAATTTTGATCAGAGTCCCCTGGCTCCAAATGCAGCTCCCTCACCAGAGGCAGAGTTGGAGGAAATATGTATCTTATTAAAAAACAGCTCACGCCTTTCTCCTGAAATATTACAGCACTTGTGGAAATCAAAAGATTAGTGTCCCATGTGAAGAATGTGTCCTGACCACACCGCATGTGGTCCAGTCAGTCTTAGCTGGAATCCAACTGGGCAGCAACAATTTTGCTGTGACCCACTTGGTGCTGCCTCATGACCCACCGGTGGGTTCTGACCCACAGGCTGAAGACATCTGATCTTGGCAGTAATAATAATAATGATGATGTTGTAGGAAGCAGATACACTGCAGGGGGAGTCTAGGGAACCAGGAAGTGTTCTGGGGCACAGACTAAGTTGACATGAAGTGCTGGCCAGGCCTATGGGACCAACCTTTCCATTGTGGCTCTGGCCTCAAGCTCAGGGTGAAAGGAGGAGGATGAGCTAGCTGAGTCTGAGGCTCTTCAGTCTTTCCCTATGCATCAGCAACCCAATTCGATGTGACGTGATGTGTCTTTCAAAGCCAATGGTTCCAGGAAATCTGTAGACAGCTTCCCTGGAACCATTGCAAGCAGGTCAGAGATGGCGCTGTGCTCTGTCCTGCTTGCCAGTTTTGGCAGCCTAGGCTATGAATGTCTCTGCCTGTCGTACCCCTTGTCACCAGGAGACTCAGGAAAAATTGGGGGGCTGGGGGCCATTATTTGACATTGCCCTTCTTTTTGCAGAAAGCCATTCGTGTTACTACATTCATGCAACGTCTCCGGGCTCCCGATGTCAGTGGCCGTCTGCCCGTGACTCCGCGTTCCTCCATGAGCGTTGCTCACGAGGTCACCATTGAGGCACCCAGGCTGGCCAAACGTGTGGAGACTCCATGCACACCGCAGGAGCAGCAGAGCAAGATAGAGGAAGTCACAGAGGCAGAGGAATAATGGCCCCTGCTTCCCCGATCCCATATTCTGATGCCTTCTCTGCTCTTGGAAGGGGTGGGTGGGGTCTGTGGGACAGTAGTTAGGGTAGTTATGGGGCAAGGAACTAGGGAGACCCTTAGCAGTGTTATTCCCTCCCCCCACCCCTGCCATTGGTCAGGAGCAAGAGCTATTTGGTTTGGACAGACGGGCAACCAAAAGGAGAGATGGACCCGACCCCACAGAGATGTGTATGGGAAGGGAGGACTGAGCATAAGAAATATGGTAGGACAGGGTGGTGGTCAGCTACCCCACCCCCAGCTCCCTGGAAAATGCACCTGTCTGAGCAGAAGGGGGGAGACTTCTTCCTAGGCCTTCCCCAGTAGTGGGTGCCAGCTGTGCTCCTTGCCATATTGCATCCACCACCCCAGCGCAAATGCGGAATGCCTTGCAGAGTGACTGTCTCTCCCAGGCCTCACGGATCCACATCCCACACATCTGCATCCTTGCCTTTGCGATGTCACAATGGCTTCAGAGGAGTTCCCTTCCTCCACAAAGAAGCTGGAAGTATGAGCCAAGAAGGGGAAACCTTGTCCTCCTATTTGCGGGGGCCTTGGGATATGCCAAGCATTTGCAAACATCAGCCAATAATGGAATGGGAAGCAGTTTCAGGCTAGTGAAGCAAGTGTTAGAGAAGAATTCATTCCATGGAGAAAGGATCTGTTTCCCAGCCTTTCCCTGTTCTATTTGCCCAGTCCTGCATTTCACTTTGAGCAGGGGCAGCAACAGCAGCCAGGTGGGAAACTTGTTACAGATGACTGCCCTCCTGGTTTGGATCCCCAACCTCAACCGGACTGTGCAAGGAGGGGCAAGAGAGGTGCATGTCTAAGCCAGCTGCATGTTTTATGAAGATGCTATTTTAATACAGAAACCTCCCAGCTGTCCCTCCCCTGGTGCTGTCTTTCCCCTCTCCTGGGGCAGCTCTGGGAAATAAAAAATAAACAGAGTCTCTGGTTATTGATGATCTCTTTTTGTTGATGGTGAGTGTTATTATTGAGGTAATTGGTACTGGAATCCTTAAACAAGGTGGGGGAAGAAGGGCCTATTTTGAATTCTAACCCCCCCCCATCTGTATATAGTAAATACAGTTCCCTGCTTTATGTTGGCTTGATTATGTAATCTGTAGTCCTGCGATAATGCTGCCATCTTATTTCTTTAAACAGCAGAGGAGTCTTCTGGGGCTGAAGCAAGCCAAATGTGAGAAAAGCAAGCACAGAGGGAGGCTTCCTTATACTAAAACGGCCTGTTCGTCCGTCTTAGCTCAGTATTTCTAGTGACTGGGAATGGCTTTCCCAAGGCTTCAGGCAGAGAGTCTTAAGTACCTCCCTAGATCAAACAAAAGGAATAATCTAGAATGACATTGGCCTTTCTATTCATAGATTCTTAAAAAATTAAAAATGTGATGTTTTTGAGCTCAAGCCAGCCTAGGCACATGCTGTCCTGGAAGCAAGTGTGCAATTCCCCCATTTCAAATATATGGCAATGGGGTCTCAACTGGTGGTGACTGACAAGGAATGGAGTTGTAGTGGATGGGCTGGTGATGCTGCTGAGCAGTATGTGACAGCTTGAAAAGCCAAATTCCATGTTAGGAGTCATTAAGAAAGGAGCAGAAAATAAAACTGCCAATATCATAATGCAGTTATACATATCTGTGCTGCAACCACACTTGGTATAACGTGTAGAGTTCTGGTCACCTGACCTCAAAAAGGATATTGTAGAGCTGGAAAAGGTCCAGATGAAATTCTCAAGAGCAACTCTCCCACGCAGACAGGGTTCAGAAAAAGAAGAAGCAAGGGTTGGGCCACAACAGAGGTGGAGAATATGTGTGAAGATGCTTGGTGTGGAGAAAGCAGATAGTGAGAAGTTTTTCTCATAATACTAGAGCCAACCAATGAAGCTGAATGTTGGAAGATTCAGAACAGAAGAAAGTCCTTCTTCACACAGGGCACTGGTAAACTATGACATTTGCTCTCATGAGGAGGCATAGTGAGAGTCACCAATCTGGATGGCTTTAAAAGAGGATTAGACAAATTCATGGAGGACAACGGCTACTAGTCATGTCGCCAACAATGTTCTGTCTCCGTTTTGGAGGCAGTATTTCCTCTAAAGATCAGCTGCTGGGAATCACCTATGGGGAGGTGGCTGAGACACTCGGGTCCTGCTTGGGGCTGCCCCCAGGCACCTGCTCAGCTCCTGTGAGAATGGGATGCCGGAGGCCTCTTCTCTTGCTCTCTCTTCTCTTCTCACTCTTGGGCACTTTCTCCGTATGTTATACAGTAGACCTCAGTCATTGAAAATGGACAGCCAGAGACTCTTGACTCAAATTAAGCTGTCTCCCTGCCACTTCCTTTTCTTCCTATGTTCAGTCTCTTATCTGAAACACAAATTTCCCTAAAGAAAATGGTTGGGACCAACTGAAGCTGCCTCTTCTACCATGAGGGCTGGTTTCCCAAATCCCAGATACATTGTGGTTGGCTATGGTTGCAGGGGAAAGGAAGAGCATTCTGTGTGTCCAACTGCTGACAACACACTCCAAAACTCTGGAGGACTACACTCAGCAGCTTCATATAGATATTAAACAACATGGGGGATAGAATTGAGCTTTGAAGGACCTCATATTGAAGGTCCCATACTGCTGAAAAACAGTCCCCAAGCATCCCAACTCAGATAGCCTCTCCAGGGGAATACAGTGGTTGATGAAATGGAAAGCCACCAAGAAATCAAGGAGGATTAGTTTTCTCCTGACAGAGGTAATCATATAAAGTGACCAGGTCAGTTTGTGCCAAAACCAGGCCTAAACCCTGATTGAAATGGATCTAGAGCTCCTGGATCTGGTCAGTGACCACCCGCCCAAGAACACTGCCTAAGAAAGGGATATTGGCAACTGGCTGGTGATTACTTAAGTTATTAGGATCTAGGGATGGTGTCTCAAGAAGCGCTCCTTTCACTGCCACCTTCAACTTGGCAGGAACCACCCCTCTCATAAAGAGGCCCTGACCACCCCCTGGGCCCACATAGATCTGCTCCCTGATGGATTTCATTAAGCCAAGAGGGGCAAAGATCCATCCAGGCCCCAATCCAAGCTCTGGTAGATGTTGTGGAAGTGGTGAGGGAGCACTGTGGTTTGAACCGGGGAGCTCCCGTTGCTTTGTCCCTGCTCCTGTCAACCTAGCAATTCAAAAGCACACCAGTGCAAGTAGATAAATAGGTACCACTGCGGCAGGAAGGTAAGCGGCGTTTCCATGAGCTCTGGTTTCCATCACGGTGTTCCGTTGCGTTCCCGGAAAAGCTGTTTGTGGACAAACACCGGCTCCCTCAACGTGAGGCGAGATCCAGCGCTGCACCCCATCATTGAGGGGCAGTATTTCGATATAAGTAGGAAAATGAGAAAACCCCTAAACATTTTTTTAGAAAAAATGCACTGCGTCTATCTCCATCCTGGATTGCGTCCTGTCCGGTGCATTGCTCTCTGCGCGAGATCCTCCCGCCCCTCCCCCTCCGGCCACGTGCTTCTGCGCGACATCAGGAGCCACGTGCTCCCTCGCCCCTCCAGGCGACCGGCAACTACATTTCCCAGGAGGCACCGCAGCCCCGCCCCGCCGGCCGAGCCGAACCACCCGAGTGGGGCGTGCGGGGGGGGTTTCCCCCTCTGAGCTTCCCCTCCGCGCCCGCCCGAGCGCCCTTTCCCCTCAAGGAACCCGAGAGGAGGCCAAGGCCCCGACCCCGCCGCGCCGCGGCCCGGGAAATGCGGCCGGACGCCCGGCAGCTCGGCTTGGGGGCGCGGAGGGACCCCGCCCCCCCTCGGCCCGCGTGGTCTCGGCCGGCGCGCTCCTCGGCGCGGGGGGCGGCGGCGCGCGGCGTCAGAGGCGGCGGCGGGAGCAGCAGCCGGAGCCGGAGCGGAGCGGGGACGCAGGCGGCGCACGGAGGGGGGGTGAGAGCCGGGCGGGGGGAGGGGGCGGGCCGGGGGGGAGGGAGGGAGAAGTCCGCGACCACCGCCCCCCCCACAACCCCCTCCATTTGGGGCGCGTCCCCCCGCGCGGGATCGGGCTGGGCCAATGGCTGCTCCCAAGCCGGACATCCTGCCGCCTTTCCCCTCCCGCCCCCTCGGCACCTGGGAAGCCACCGCGGAGCTCAGCGCCGAGGCTCTGCCGTCGTCGTGAGCGCGCCGCGCGCGACCTGCGGGGCGGGGGGCAAGGGAGGGAGAGGCGCCGAGCCCTTTCCGTGCCCGCCCGGCACTCGAAGCCAGCTTCCCCTGGCAGCCTAAGTGACACCTGTCATTGCAAGAAAAGGGTCAAGGATCATAGGATCATGGAAGGTGGAGTTGGGAAGGGCCCTGAGGCTCATGCAAGGCAGGAATCTTTCCCCCGATGTGGGACCCACAACTCTGAGATCAAGAGTCTCACGCTCTGCCAACTGAGCTTTTATGCACCTTTGGTCTTTTGCAGGCTCCTTCCTCTCCTCCCCTCCATTTTTTTAGTCTCCAGATTATTTCTCCTCAAGCAAGGACTCTTGTTAGTACAGCTATAAGCCTGTTCCAATTTCTAAACCTAGTTTCCTTCTTTTGGAAGGAAAACCCAAAGGTATGAGACAGAGTCTCTCTGAAGTGTGCTGAAGTTCCTTTCCAGCCATTGTCAATGCTTGGTCTGCCCCCACCCCCTAGTTTTACTGAGCTGGTGAATGGGCTGTATTGCCAGACAAAAATCTGGCTTCAAGTCTGTGTCCGCTGGTTTTCTGTTTTCCAATATGTTGCAGACTCCTGTCTGAGGGTTGGCTACCTGTGAATCACATTTCTAGGGTTAGGAATCAGGTCTCTGTGTCAAATAGCAGGACATCAAGGCAGCCTTGTGTGCTGACATTTTTTATTTCAGTCATTAATAGATGTTTCATTCTCAGCTTGGGGAGGAAGGGGAGAATTGGGCCAAGTAATATGGATGATCCAGACCTGCTGGCTTATATGGTTTGACCCTTTTCTATGCTTTCTGTTTCCTTGACTTGTAAGAAGGGAGCTGGTTAAGAACCTAATCTCAAGAGACTGTAATAACTTCTCTAGGGATGGGCTAAAGTGGCATAGTATCTGTAAGCAGCCTCCTGTTCTTGAACAGCTACCTAGATGCATTCGTATGCTAGTGCCTTTTGCTCCTGAAATAGATTTTGTTTACTTTGTTTCCCTGAAAGTTTATAAATTGGACCTTGAATTTCCCCCTTCAAATATAGGGGACTGTTCATTGAATAAAGGTGTTAGTTTTTAAAAATTGTCTAGGTAATCAAAAGTCAAAGAATCAACTTAATTTTCATATTTATAAATATAATTATTTGTAAATATAGGTGCCATTTTGATAACATTAAGGGAAGGAATGCAAATGCAATGTATAATGCAATACCACTTTTAATGTTCTCTCTGTTATTATCATTTGTAAGGTAAAGGTAAAGGTACCCCTGCCCGTACGGGCCAGTCTTGCCAGACTCTGGGGTTGTGCGCCCATCTCACTCAAGAGGCCGGGGGCCAGCGCTGTCCGGAGACACTTCCGGGTCACGTGGCCAGCGTGACATCGCTGCTCTGGCGAGCCAGAGCCGCACACGGAAACGCCGTTTACCTTCCTGCTATAAAGCGGTCCCTATTTATCTACTTGCACCCGGGAGTGCTTTCGAACTGCTAGGTTGGCAGGCGCTGGGACCGAGCAATGGGAGCGCACCCCGCCGCGGGGATTCGAACCGCTGACCTTTCGATCGGCAAGCCCTAGGCGCTGAGGCTTTTACCCACAGCGCCACCCGCGTCCATTATCATTTGTACAGTAGCATTAATTATAATTGAGAGTTATAGAATTTTTCAGCATCTAAAGTGCTTTGTATACATTATCTTGGTCATTCTTACAACAGCCCTGGCAAGGCAATAATATTCCCATACTGCAGATAGTGGGAGGGAGGAATGCCAATGAGGTTGCATTTGAACTGAAGAATTCCCAT